TTACTGACAAGCTCGTTATGTGTACCAAGCCCTCAAAGTGTTTTGTAGCGCACTCAAGAAAACACAAAGACAGCAGCAAATGGACTGATAAAAATGCAGTGCCATCTTAGGACCATGACAAAAGTGCACGCAGTTTGAAGTTGTCAAAGCTAAGTGATGCAGTTACGCAAACATCACAAGTGGATTTTTCATTAAGATATGTACATCGGTAACACCCATTAAGTCAGGAAATTTGCCTCATTCTATGCATTTGAAGGGGGTGTTGATAGGGCCTTGGTATCTCATCTAGCTGCCTGTCCTGAGGACAGCCAGACACAAATTTTGGACCAAGAGTTGTTGCTCGTTGCCAATTTACAAACCCACCATTTTTGACATCAATCTTTAACACTGCAAAGAAGTCTTCACTACTCCTCCCAAAATGCCTGGCACGGTGGAAATACATGGAAATACATGTACCGGCATGTCCTTGTCCAGAACCTAGGGATTTCAGCTTCATAACTTCTCCTGGGAGGCAGATACTGCAATCCTCGATGAAGCCCTGTGGGGACTATGAGCCCCGAGCTGGACCAAGAGGGGGCACGATTTTCTTAGCAAAGGAGGCTCCTTTGGTCGGAACTGCACTTTGCTGGTTCATGAATGCCTGGGAGAGGCACATATCATGGTCACATCATTTACCAACAAAATGGCCTCTCCCGACCAGCGTGGCTCTTTTCAACCGATGAGGGGGTGCTTCTGCTCGGATGGTTCTTGACTTTGTTGCTCTGTCAAAAGGAATTAAAAATCAAAATGGCAGGCCTTGCATATCTTAAATCTGCAATTTTGTGAATACATTATGAATACTGTCAAAACACTAAAAGTAGGGAAAGTGCGGTTGGATTTCTGAGGACCAATATTTGTCGATTTGGGCCCCCTCACTTCCCTGGAGACATAGTGCCAATTTTTTAATTTTTTACTCCCAAATTGTTTCAAGAATAAAAAAAAAGCGCCATCTTGTTTAGAATAATACTACTATCTGTCTTTTTTTAGAGGATGAAGGTCAAGATTACTTTTCCAGACTAAAAAACTGAGCATCTGATCTGTTTTAGAGAAATAAAATCTCTTATTTTGCTCCCTGGACTAAAACTTGGATATGCGACTGTATGTACTGCTGAGATGTACGCAAAGCAAGAGGCTACCAATATGATTGGGTTTTTCTGTTCCTGTTTTTATTGAATCACTTATTAACTGAAACAGAAACTCCTGCTCTGGATAATACATGCACCTGACCAGAATAGTCACGGGCTGGTGTCTCCATTCATCGGCAGTGTCAAGTATGCACGAACCAAAAGGTCAGCCCTTGGGCCATTCCATAAATACACGGAGACAGATCAAAAGGGGAGCAATCATCTGCCGTGAACAAGAAGAGTTGGACCAGCTCCATGTTTTTGCAGCTCCATGTTTTTTGCCGACACCCCAAACAGAAAGTGTGCCTGATCCAAACGAAATAAGTTTGCAATTTTATCACTTCCGAAGTTACGAATGGGCAGAGAGTCAAAGCAGAGCTGTGGCAGTGTTTGGGGTACCTGGTATGAATTACCCAAACTGTTTAACATAGCTTTTACAAGAAGTGGATGTTCATATCTTTCCAGGTCAAACGTTTTTATGGGTTTTCGTGGATCACTTACCTCTGCTCGTTTAAAAAAAAAAGTCAATGTAGGCCTACTGTTTATTGTAATAGTTTACTGGTTGTCCATCTGTGTGTTTGTATTCAGTGTTTGTAGTTCTCATTTTGGTATGAAAATAAATGTTATTTTTCAATCGAAATTGAATTGAATCTTTAAATTTGAAAACAACAAAAACTAAGGAAATTGCAATGATTTCTAACCGCCTGCTGCCGCTGGTGTGTAATACGTACATTCATGTACTAACTCTTCCTGTTTTTTACTTGATTTATACATTTAATCAAGCGCGTCAGACTTGATGGGGAAAAAATGAACTAAAAAATTCTGAATGATGTACCGCAAACGTCTGGGCGACATCATCGAGATGGAGCCTGGATATCCGGTGATATACTAACAGCGTTTTTATTACAGGCGAGATGTTTATAACACGATGGCTGCCGTGTTGAGCATCAGTGGACTCGGTGATCACTATGAAACACGCCATAAAATTGCGGCCGTGAATGAATGCCAGTGATGGATGATGTAAACACGTCCGCCAACAGATCATCTGTGTAGAATTCATCCAAATGGCCTCAAAATCTCATCAAACCATCAGGGCAACCTGCATGCAACACCAGAGGGGCCCGGAAAAATAATGCTCCCCCAATTTTTTTTTTGTTTCTCAGACTTAGGTGGGAAATCATTTCTGTATCTGTAGCAAGTCCCTTAAGACTTTGAACACAAATTCAAAATTGTTGGACAGTTTCATTAAAGAGTAATTGCAATCAATTTGTTTTAATAAAAACCTTCAAAATGCACTTTTGTTTCTCATTTAACCTTATTTTCAACTTTTGTTTCGCTACTTCAAAGGGTAGTTTACTGCCTTTTTGGTGTTAATGTTGAAGAGAATTTCCACATTCATGAGCAAAACTGTGATATCATCCCAGGAAGAAAGCCTCACTGTTGCATTGGTTTGTACTCAGAAAAGTCCTGCATTTTCAACGGGCATACCTGTGCTCTGAAGCACGTCTCCCCTAGATGACTTCACACCACCAGTGCCCTCTGTTGTCCGGGAAAGCATGGATAATTCTAATTGTTTAAAAAGTGCACTTTTCGATGCATGGAATGTAAAAGAATTGTCAAACTGGCACATGGATGAAGAATACAAAATCAACGAAAAATTGTGTCTTAGAAAAATTGATTGGCACACTTTAATTACACCCAGCCAATATACAAGTTAGGATACAAGTTTGCCTGTCGTCAATCAAACATTGTTTGTAATAAACCTGTACTCTTGGGCATACCCAACACCCTTATGTACACAAAGGCTATTACATGTCCTACAGGCTATAGTAGAAATGGTGGTTGTATGAGTGGCTGGCAAACGTCTTTGGTTAATTTTTGGCTCTGTAGTCTTTAAGCTTATAAAGACCTCAAGACATTTGACCACAAAGTTATGTTGACAAATTGTGGACAACTCCATCCCCCCAAAGATTTGCACATGTTTGAAACCTTTCATCATGTCCTTGCAATGCATGAAATTGCTTGGCTAAACTGTGTGACCCCATCTGACCACAACTCTGTCAGCAGGGCACCCCGAGGGTTGCAAGTCATAACAAAGTGTTCTAGGCATTTGTCTCCGTCCTCCCTCTAGCTCCCCTCCCTCCACCCTCCCATCAGATTCACTCCCAGGGACCGGTGTTTCCCAGGTATGGGTCAAAGGTTGTGTGGAGGTCAATCAGGAGGTTCATTCCTCTTGGGTTCAAGTTGTAGCTGCAGTCTCTGGGGAGGGGCGGCATTGTCTGTGAAACAGACCTCCAGTGGAGGGTTAGTGACCACTGCACCCATTGTGGGGCTTGCTGGTGGCTTTATCGAATTACCTGCCTCCAACCTCTCTACCCACCAGTTGCGAATATTCACAAAATGGACTCAAGGTAGAGACTTTCATGTCACATGTAGTGTTGTCCAAAAAGTACACTGCACCGCTACCTGTAATCGATCCGTTATTTATCCAGGAATCAGAGAAGGAGGCTGGTACGGTTTTGCTATTAAAAATGACAAATGGCCTGTAACATCCATGAGCATTTATTGTCACAAAAAAAAGCATCTAAAATTTGTTGCTCATAGTGTCAAGCCATATCTCTTACCAAGGCCATCTCAGCTCAACCATTTATACTTTCTTTGTACTGAAAAAAAAAGTAGAAAAAAATGGGAAAGTACCTTTTGGATATTCCATAAAATGGTGCAGTTCATTTTTGAAAAATGAACAAAGGCTCACAGGTATCCACACAAGAGGGCTTTCGATCAGGCTGATACTATGCTGATCCACAACTACAAACAATTCAAAGTTCAAGTTTTTTTATCGGTTGGTGGGGGGGGGAGGTGAACAGAACGGTGGGGTTCAGTTGCAGCCAACAGACACATGGTCCTACGAGGCCTTAGCAGGGGGCCTGGTCGTAGCTTCGCCTGTTACCAGATCATAGGAAGTGCTGTACACCACATGTGCCTTTGGTACATATTAGTCTATAGTTTTTGAAAGGTCGACCACAGCTGGTGAACAGTGTGAACAAATTTGGCTTAGTGGAAACATTTAATACACGGTGCAAGCAAAAGGAGCACTAACCTTTGAAGCGAAACCGGAAAGACAGAGGAGGCCACTCTATTTGGTTTTGAGTTAATATTCTACAAGTGAAAAAAAGTAGACTGATAGTGCATAGGTGGACAGATGATGTGGGTGAATATGCATTGTAGCTCAAGTGCTGGAACCGGCTGGAAAAGTGTTCCCGTCTTCCTGTACTGGATAATTTAACTGATAAGCAGGTTGGGATGACTTGTTTCCAGTAATGATAAGCTATGAAAAGTGTCTTGAGTTGGCTTTGGGCCATATGGGAATATACCTACCAGGCAGGTGCCTGGTCATGCAGTGAAGTTTTATTGCAGACCCAAACCTGGGAAATATTGGCCCTGAAAAAGGCTGCCACAGCTCGGAGAAGACCGGAGAATGACACAGCAGGAGTTGGGATACCAGGACTGGCATAGTGTACGCACGGTGTGCCATTAAGTTAACCGTTACAGTTGTAACCATTGACCCACTTGTCAGTGGGGGGGTCTGCCTGTCTCTGTACACAAAGGATTAAAAAGCTGCTGCACGCGGGCCATTGTTGTGCAGCCATATTGATGTGATGATCCGGGGCCTGCAAACAATAACGCTCCAAAGGACAAGCGTACATGTGCATGTGGACTGCTGTGTTCTGTTCAGCAGTGCTGATTGCTGTAACCAGCTTATAAAAGAGAGCCCACATGTTCAGCATGCTGGGTTTGAACACCGCTAGCTGGCATCGGGGGACACTGTGGCTGATGATATTAATACACGATGAATAGTTTATCATTAGCGGTAGATCGGATTGGCTGATGGCCAGGAGTAAAGTGACTAGACGGTTAGAGCCACCACTTACATGTATACCCACCCGACCAGCCGGTGGATCACAATGCTTTCATTAGTCTTACATCAGCACAGCCCTTCATTACGACCTGACGACAGCAGGAGACAGCGGTGGCTAAGCGTGGCTGCACCCGGCCGCCCGTTGACACATATGCAAACACTCGCTTGTCAGATGCACGTGGGTGATAAGACGGGGGCTCATGCGGACCAGCCAACCCCCCCTTAACGGTCATAATATCAGGCGAGTCTCCCTCTTCCTGGCTGTTTGTGATTGATGGCGCCGCGGTCTGGCGTTGACTTTTTGAGTTGATGGCGGTCATTAGATGATGTGCGCCGGTTTTGAAGGAAATTGAAAATGCATCTCTGGCACAATCGAGGATTGTATTAACCTTGGATCACAATGTGCTTGAAGACATGAAGACGGGGACGACCTCAACAAGCTCGCCATCATTTATGATGTAGCTACATGGTCGGTCCCAGAGTGCAGCTAATGATACATGTATCACATTGCCGCAGCTTCCATTCAAATTTTGTTCGATAATTTTTGTTTCATATGAGACTACTCTTAAGGTTGTTTTGGAGAGTAGTGCTTGTACATTTCTTCCTTTTCACCAAGTATTCCGAAGACTTAAGGGAAAGGTCACACAGAGATAAGAGCCACGCTCCACGGAAGATTTTTCTCAGCAACTGTAGTAGCTCCTTTTGTGAAGGTTGAAGGGACGTAACACTGAAACTTGAGAGGCTGTGGCTTTGACAGTCCAGATCATTTTGGCTGGCTTCCCTCAGCCTGGCACGCTGCTCTTTTCTATTTTGAAATCAGACCCGGGCACTGATTAAGTGGCAGCACCAGAACCTTCTCCATTTGAGGCTGGGCAGAGGAGAGAGAATCACAGCTTGGGCACCAAGCAGAGCTGGTCTTTCCCAGTGAGCAGGCCGTGTGGAACTCTGTTGACTTAACAAACCACGGCAATCAGGGGAGCTCCCACAATCAGGGGAGCTCTCACCCTCCGACCGCAGTTGAACCGCTGGACAGGGGACAGATCACAGCAAGAAGTCTTGTCATGTGCCTGGGTCTTTGGTTGCCTTTGGTGTGAGCAGAGCAACTCGCCTGGATCAATCCACCCAAGATAGCACGGGCCTGGGAGCTTAAATGGGATGCACATTACCGGTACATGTAGCTGCGGTTTAGTTGTACCTTAGAGCAATTCCACTCCATCCATGCATTGTCAATGTGTATGCATGCAAACTGTGTACATGTACAGTACTGGGCAGCTCACACATTGAAACTTAGCACCGGGCCTGTTTTTCATTTGATCCCTTCCGATTGACCGACAGCTATTTTTCCTCTGGACACGGGCCAAGTTACTCCCCAGATATCGGCCTCCCTTTTTAATGTGGCTTTCATGAGATGTGCAGATAAACTGAATCTTGCAGATTGTTTCTTCGCCGTCGGAAGATCGCATCGCGCTTGATGTCAAGATTTTACCCCTTCATCTTCACAACAGCAGAGAAATACTCCAATGTTGGGGATTGATGTCTCAATTTCCTGTGGGATTTGAAAAGATTCCCATCACTCATCTGTATGGGCTACTTTGGTTCGGTGGGGCTGAGTAACGCAGTCCTTCGAAGAAGCTGGCCGACATCAGGCCTTGCGACTTACATGTACTTTCCCCATTCCAAAAACCATAGCCTCAGCCTGTAGGAATCGACCTGAAGCGGAAGACTCTTGGCCTTTGTCGACTGTATCTCTGGAGGGTTATCACGCAGCGTGTAGCATGACCAGGTGATCGAGCAGAACCCAGGAGGGGGAAAAAGACGTCGTTTGTCTGGTTATGTTTCATCGGATCAGATCTTGCATCCATCTCCTCCCCGATGTCGTGCTCTGCGGGTGTAGCGCTGGTTGCGGCCGTCCTGACTATTCTCTGTCGGCAATCAGGCTGCGATCTCGGATTGACAGGCAGCGCGGATGAAAATGGGGGTGAGTTTTTTTTTTTTTGGGGGGGGGGTAGGGTTGGGGGGGTGGTGGCTTCAACTTGCATTGATTTCCATTCTAGTTTTTATTTTAGTCTTCTGATTTGCCCAGCATTTTGCATCCTCCTGTTCGTTCAGACAAAATACGGATTTAGTGCAGAGGAACGAATGAGGAAAAGGACAGAGGAAGAGAGAAAAAGCATCAAGTGATTTTTCTTTCAAAGAAGAGCCAGGCATTACACGGAGACAGTATTATGTATCTGGATCATTCTATAAATTTGGGGTGTCCATGGCATGTCCCGTTTCTGTCCCTGTTGACACCTGAGTATTCTGACAATGGAGGTACCATTGAAATTGACTCCTGAGTATGACCTAGAGTATTTGTATTCATATGACAGGTAATTTCCATGACTCAATCACTCGGAGAAATTAAATAATGTGTTTGAAATGTACAAGAGCACAGGGAAAAAATTGGACCCCAAATGCATAGAATGACCGTCTCCAAATCGGCATTTACTCTCTGATGGCATTTTAATGTCAGGAATATAACTAGTGTGAAAAAGGAAGCCATGATAATATGCCAGGAAAAAGCTTTGTCTTTCCTGTTTAAGATGCCTTTCCCTGTGGTCATAACTTAAATAGGAATGCAGCCGGGATGCTAGTCAACTGACACATGCCTATTTATTGCTACATTATTGTAAATAAATCGATTGTGAGATGGAAACTGAGAGTCTGACCGGCCCCTGACTGACTGGGCGTTATTCGCTAAGAACTTCCTCAAAAAAAAAAAGTAGGGCGGTGAAGTTACAGTGTGAAAGGGCCCTGCCGTTTCTAGACTTAGCACAGGTCAGCCGAACTGAAGTGGAAGAGTTTATTGGGAGTGGTTAAACTTGTTTGCCAACAGATAAACATCTGAATACAGTGTTGCTTCCTTTATCTCCCACAAAAACATCCATAGCTAATGACCTGTTGGAATAGGTCCTCCCGCACAGGTACATCATGTAGGATGAAACGGTTCATGATGTGAACTTGGGAATGAGTTTTGTGTAGCATTCTACTCCTGAATGTAAGGAATCTATCTGGCATCTTTTTTTGGTTCCTCTAATAAAAATGCATTTCTTATAAAGCCTAAAACAGTCCTCAGTCCTTCACCCATTGGAGGTTCGAGGACTGTTAGGGTTAAAGAGTGGAAAATTCTTAGTGCTCTGCCTGACAAGGGTACTGTTTTGTCGCCTCAAGAAGACACAGTTCATCTTGGGTGTTGTGTGTTCAAATGAGGAGCCCAACCTTTGCCCATGGGAACATATTTGAGAGAAAATGTGGCTCAGTGGTCTGAGGTCAGTAGCTCAAACAACAGCAGTTCACCAGATTAAGAACAGAATTATTGGAAAAACAGAATATCCAACATTCTGACAGTTTTTTAGTGCAGAGGAAGCAGTCATTGTAGAGGTTTCTGAAACTTTCTTGCTCAGAGGACGTCACACTTTTGCTTATAAAGATGCACATTTACAACAATGGAATAAAATTAGAAAGGTACTTCAAAACGACGCAACATGCTCCCAGAGGGAAATGCTCTTTAAACTGGTGCATCAAAAAATTGATAGTCAGGTGAAATGGGACAAAAAGAGTATTTACAAGAACTGGGTAAAAAAAAAATTTACATTCCCTGGGGCCCTTGAATGCTTTCGTCAATGCACTGATCCCAGTATAATTCCATTTGCCTTGTTCCTTGGATGTGGACACAAAGATAATAATCCCAGTCGCTTTGACTCCACAGCAAACAGTATTCACGATTGACACCTCTCGTTCTCTGCCCCTCTGCTGTATCTTCTCAATTTCTGCGAACCGTCAAGGATTCGTGGGATTGACGCCTGCTTTTTTTTCCTCCTCCGAACGGCCCCATTGTCTGAAAATGAAAAGTCCCCCCCCATCGTTCGCTTGCAGCTGGAAATACGGAGTATAAGTGACATTTAGAATCTGTTATAATGTCAACTTGGGGAGGGGGAAAAAACAAAGAAACAAGATACCGAGATCCGGCATGGGCTGAAATTTTGAAGTAAGATTAATGACAGGTTGGTGGATGGTTTTATTGGTTTTTCCCTCTCGATGGGTGAGGAGGAACTGGTGTGGCCGTGGTCTGTTTTTGAAAGGTTGAGCTCCTTGGCTAGATGAATTCTTTCATTAGAATTTCATCCAACTGCGTGTGACGCGTGTATGTACCTGCAGGTGTGATGTCAAGTTGAGGATTCACTGTGCTTTATTCAAGGCTGTCCAGGTTTGTTCCAAGTGCCAGCTTGAAAATACATATGTACACTGCACCCACACAGTAAATTTGTCGACAGAGGAACTTTGGTGTGTATTCCTGCTTTCATTTTTGCGACGCCCGAGTGGCAGCTGATTCTGTCAGTGGTGTTACAAGGTGGCATTACATAGCATTACATCACACACATCGATAGCTCCCCCCCGTCCCGTCGTGGAGTTGCACGCTATTATTCAATCAATAAAATCTCAGCACTCAATACTCCGTCATCGCTTGATCAATCAGGTTAATGATTGCTCGGTTTCTTCCGTTCAGACCATTCCTACCAGCAAGGGAAATAAAAAAGATTGGCTCTGTAGGCATCCACACACAAAAAATAATAAGTTTAGCTGTCTGTTTTGCAAGCCTGCAATTGTCCAATCTCTGTCCAATATGATACAGCACATGCAGTAATTTATTGCCAAGTAAAAGGAGTGACCTTTCTAGATATAGGATGTGTGAATTGCCAAATTTTCTAGTCATTAACCACAGAAATGTACATGCAAGAAAGTGGTGAAAAATTGTCTCAAAATGAGGTCCTTAAAACTTTCAAACAGTGCCTTTTAAACCGGGTGGGGGGGAGGAATAAGTCAACCCTACATTACAGATGTACATGTATGCCTTCAGTGCAGAAAAGATGCATTACTCTTGTTGCCAGGGTTGCTTCTCCATTTTGAGTTTACGGAAAGATGCCTGTACCATTGGTCTTGTGAACTGAAAGCTCAATGTGGAAACAAAAGCCTGAGTGATTTGGTTCAACAAATAAATAGAAAGCCAGCCCTAAACACTATCAGTATCCAGAGTCAAGGCCAGGTAACACAATAGGTGGGAACACACCCGGGGACACAAAACCTGAGATGACAAAAGCACTATCTGGTGTCAGGCTCAGGGACCTGTGTAGCCTAGGGCCAGGCTGCACATGGTGAAATCCAATTATGAAGATGTGGACTGCTTGATGTTAATTTGAAATATGTATCCTTGTCGTGAGGGAGCTGCGAAGCCCTTGTAAGGGTTGCCCGGAGGTCCCTGCACTTTAAAGTTGTATTTGGTTTGCCATGAGAAATCCTAGTTTGTGAGAATGTTAATAATGGACTACTGTGAATTCCCAAGTTGGTCAAGCCAGAACCGTAATCACACCTTTGTCCAAACATGTCTCAAATACCAAACTGAGGAGGTCCTGAGTGACATTTTCCATCCTAGCAGTCTTAAAGACAGAAGCATTTTGCAAGCAATTTGGTATTACATATGTCTGAAACCAGACGGAATTTTAGAAAAATAAGGAAGTCTTTTCAGCTTGATGCAGGAGCAGACAGATTATTTGTAAAAAAAGATTTACAACTTGTGCTTCAGCCTTCTACAATGTCTCTTCTGTTAAAATGAGTGTCCAAAGTTTGTTCTGCTTTCACCCTCAACAGAGCAGCAAGATATTATGCGGCGATATCGCCGAGAAACAGTGAAGTACTCAGAAGTACTTGTGGTCCAGCACAAACTGTAATATACCCACCCTCTATCAGTCATCGGTGGAGTGTGGAAGAGGTTAATGAATCATTGAAACGAATGCTTGTGGTTTGAACATGGTCTCAAATGTCGGGTAACATGCACGATCCTTTTTCCCCAAAGCATGTAGCCTGGTCGCTTGGCTGCAGCTTGAAATTATACATGACTCTATCAGAAGTGGCTGCAGTTCTTGCCATATATATGCGTACAGTTTCTAGCTGCAGCCAAGTCACTCAGACACGACTTGCCTCTAATTTCAATTCAACCATTAAAGTATCCTCATTGGGTTGACTTTTGAGAGGATACTATAACAGGAGTGTATGGGTGCACCACACTGAACCTTTGCAAGTTGTCCATAGGTAAAGAAGGTGTTGTGCAACGGACCATGGCACACGTACAGTTGCACATTGTCCATTGTATTTGGAAGTTACGTCAGATTCAAGGCTCGTTCAGTTTGTATGTCCTTCTGGACAACCAAGTGATGTACCAGCAATTTTTGTGGATGTTAACACTCGAAAGATAAGCGACATCAGTGATTGGGAGATAAAAAGAATGTACCAATCTTTATGCCCCAGCGGGTAAATTGCTTATCAGTTGTCAGGGATTAGGGTAGCGGTGCCTGTCGTTTATCTCCATTTCCCGGTAATAAAAGACGTTTTGAGTTGCACTGCCAGCAGAAGTTCATCGATTTCTATTCAAAATTGGCCCAGATCTTTTTACAGACTCACATTCCCAACTGCACACTGTCACCTTCAATTTACCGGGCGCTGACATCCTGAAAACGGTTCGAATTTGTTGCTTTCTTCTCTGCCTCCTTTCGGGCCGGACTTCAGAAGTTTGATTTCTCACCCGTGGCACAATTGCATCGTCGTCACAGCCCTTCCCCCCCTCCCCCTCTGATATTTGCTCTTTTGTTCTTGACTGGCGTCGGTGTGATTACTGTTGGCTGCTGCTCTTTCATCTCTCCCGCTGTGCTCAGTCATAACCTAATTGGCCGTTGCTGGTTATTTCGCCCAGAGATATTGCCAGCCGATACTGACAAATAATCCGCCGTGCACCACTGACACCGTGATAAAAATGATTTGAAATTGAATCAACCCATACAAGATATCATTTCACAACAGTCTTTCTCTTAGTCGTCCAGCTGCCATGGTACGCGGAAAAAGTAGCAACTCCTTTTTTTTTTTTAATTCTAAAATTCCGGTTAAAAT